TACAAATTTAGGATTAGGTCTATTATTAGAGCAGTACTAATATCATAGTAGACCATAGTTCTACATTGGTGAGCCCAACTAAAGAAACGCAACCTATTATTATTAATCCTTATTTCCACTTCAACTTTCTCGATCGATTTTATATTTATGTTAACCCTGTATTCTAATAGTCCTCTGATTAATGCTCACATGCATTATCGTAATGTTATATTGATTAGTCCTCATGACAAACTAGCTCAATCGATAATAAAAACTGGTCGTCTATATTAACTAATTAGCTTTGATGGTTTGTTAACAAGCTGTAATAGCATTTACATGCTTCAGCGACATAGTCTTGTTTAAACATCAAGCTCTAGCAAATATGACCTGTAAATAGCGTAAATATACATTGACTAACAATGCGATCAAGGACTAAATAGTTATCTGGATCTAATTCTCAGTGTTCCTTCACTTAACACCTCATCCTGTTTTAAACTATGCACTATCCTGTAATATCTTTTCTTCCGACCACTGCCTGCCTAATTTCATATTCTCGAGTTCCATTGCCAAACAACAAGGATGACTACTCCAAAAACATACGGTGAGTTTCAGCTATAAGTTTTCTGCAATCATTTTTAGATGGTTCATTCAATGGCACACACAATTATCTGGATTCATTCAGTTGTTCTGATCAGAGTGAGTCCCAAAAACCTCGACAGCATCAAGCACCCTGGAAGTGATTGCCATACTGCATGTTTTATTCTGGATGCTTTTGGATCATTACTACTCACGAATGGCGTTATATATGTCGTCCACTGAGTAATCTAATTTTCAAAAATAACCCAGGCGAGTTCAACTATTTTACTTAATGACTTTTTGTACTTAACATGTATATGTTTTCTAGTTGCTTTTGCCATATATTTGTAAGTGTCCCTAGGCTAAATGCATTAACTTCTTACGGAATGTTTATAACGCGTCATATTCCTGCCTGAAGTTTCATAAGCAGTCTTAACTTTAAAATTTTCTTTCTGATCATGTTCATTATTTTCAAATTGTCATATACGTCAACAACCTGCATGTTAACCTGGCCCATACATGCGTTGCACTATATCTTCATGTCTTCTAAATTTAGAAATCATTTGAATCACCTTTAACATTTATCGATAAACCCATCATAGTCGTTGTTGCTAATCGTATTTGGGTTTATGGATTGGTTTATCATATTAGCAGCCTAAAATGCGAACATAGTTTAGATAATAAGATTAAAAATTTAGGTACTATCAACTGCACTAGTAAAATAACTAAATCCTCAGGTAGCTGTTGGCTAAACAAACGTTTAAAATCAAAACTCCGTAGCCTACTAGAATTAACACTAAACGAATATTTCTGAATTGAAATTTATAATTAAATTAGGCGTCTCGGATTCTTTAACGTTATAAATTTCTGATGATTTCGAATCACCTAAAGCAACAATACCTATTTTTCCACTGACTAATCCTCATCAACACTATAACTAGTTAAATAATAGTTTCAGGATATCGTCATAAAGCATTGTCATAACTTGACAATCACGTAATATGACTGATAAAATTAATGAAACTATTAACAAAATCGGTCAACAAATTGACTTATAATTATCACTAGTGTTGTTTTCTTGGTATCTTCATCCATCACAGATGATTACAGTATGTTTCTCTATCAGTTGCTCATTCAGTAAATATCTCAAAACCTTGTCAGTCTAATTGATGGTTTAGCGACACAATCATGCATGCAAATAATCAGTATAAGCAGTCGAGCAAATCTCCTGCAAACTGAAAACATCAATGTCGAATTTACCCCAACACTGACTAAGGTTCAAGCCATTATCATAGACATGAGTTGGGAGTGTACTCCCCTTGGTTACAACTTATGTACTCCCTGATAATCACATGAGCATCACTCACGGTTAATCATCTTGTAAAAACGTATTTGGCCGAGTACATCTTACAGCACCACATCACTTAGTAATGTGACATAGGCTTAACTGATTTCAGTAACTTATAATCACCATATCTCATTTAAATCGTATTCTGCCCGCATACGTGCAACTAACTTGTATGCCCATCAGCCGGCAAGTATAAATATAAATAAATAGTCTATCGCAGATCAGAACATTGAGTCTAGAGCATGTCTCTTACGAACACACTCATGTTTAACGATTTTTCCTAGCTATCTGTCCAAAATCCATATAATTATCACTCATGTATTTAAATTTTATTTTGATAACCATTCATGTGTATTAGTAGTATTACTAAATTCTATCACGGTCAAGTAAAAATGAGGTTGAGAAAATCTCCCCGTAACTAAATAAACCGTATCAAACTAACTGGAACACTAGTTGGAATTCTTCTCCACGGTATACTTTTGTTCCTTCAGTTAGCCTACTAATACAGATGCAATTGGAATTCAACTCTTATGGACAACTTACCGGCATAATCGTTATCCGATTTCATAATTTAAACCAAAACTAATACCAATATTAACATTTCTACAATATTCATTATTTTAATATTTCTAAACACAAAATAATTACTGCCTATAAGTTAAGTTATTAACACGCATCGTTTTATTATTATTATTGTAATCCCATTTTTTATAGTTCAAATAATCTTCAACCAAATTTTCATTTTAAGCGTGTTAATCATGAAAGCAGATATTTTAAGATTATTACATGTATTTCCCGACCAGATGCTGCCGCCTTCTTTTTGATTTATCTTTCAGCTTATCATTACCCGGGGGATTCTTCCTATTCTTGGTAACCTCCGGCGCACGACGATCCCATCCAATTTGGTATCGAACCAACATCACGTTGATTCTGGTGGGAGAGTAGTGTAGTGGCATTGGACAATAGCCACACAATCCACAAAGCTGTGAACACGAGACTACTCAGAAAATAGATATTCAATATTTAACGCGGGGAAATACCTAACAATGGAGAAGGCGCGAAGAATGAATTGAATGGACTGGAGTTGATCGATGGCATGGCTCGGCCATGCAGGCGTGGTCCATCTCAATGTTACTTTATATCTTCTATTCATATTAAATATATTGTTCTTTCTCTAGCCTAACCTTGTTCTACATCATGTATTGGTAATTGATACGATACAGTGAGTTGGTGTAGTCGATGGTGTGACTTCCACGTAAGATCTTATAGATTAGGCAGTTATATCATGACAAATCTACAAATTTAGGATTAGGTCTATTATTAGAGCAGTACTAATATCATAGTAGACCATAGTTCTACACATTCTTCCTCTTTAACTTTTACAGTCATTTGTAGTAAATGTAAAAGTTATGAGAACTAACAAAAGCAATGCAAAGATTATCAAAAGCTAATTACAAAATAAGTTTGTCGTGACTATTTCCACAATGTGGTCACTCAATATAACGTTTTGCTTTTCAAATTAAATACAATATTCTATCCCCAATCTGGATACGTTCCTCAGAAGTCTTAAATATCATGCTGCTGACTGTAATGACAGGTCGAGATAGTACAGACGGGAACGTGCTTTCCACTTAAGGTCTTATAGAATAGGCAGTTACACCATGTCAAACACAACATTGGATTAAGCCCATTATTTCGAAATCAAAGAATTTGAATCCCTTTCAAAAAGAAGCTTGCATACTGAATGATCGGTTGAATTTTGAGTCTCATCAAGATCGTGTGCCGTGGTGAAAATACCTGTGTCCAAATTTGCGGATGTACACCTTGACCCCGTCCGAGATTCTGAGACCCTTAACTGAAACCACATGGCAGTAGGACAAGAATTACTATTACTCACGGATCATTATGAGACCGGGCCAAAGATAAAAACGTTTCTCCGAACCTGTATTTATCTAACATTTTTTGTAACACTGTATCTAGGTCGGTAGTTGAGGGGAGTTCCAAGAGTATTCGTTATAATGTACATTTTTATGGGTTTTCGTGCCAATGAGTACCCCTCGTTTTATTAGTAATGGTAACCAAACTAGTGGTGATTACGTCTTTGTTTTCCCACTGAATCCGGTCTTCTTATCGTATTTCTGTTTTCCCTGTCTGACTAGTTTTTGATAGAAAGATAACTACTATGATGCTCTACTCACATAGTCGCTTTTTATCACTTAGTGAGAACCCATTTACTATTGTAGACTATCAAACACTTTTACACGGAGATGATATTCACATTTGAGGGGAAGTGCTAGGCCTTGATGATATATTGAATTTTTAGGAAAAGTTACATAAGACACATAACTGGATCGACTGATACCCTATCTCTTGGAGCTAGGAATGTAAATGGTGAACTGTGTCGGGACTCTACCCAAAGCTAGTCCATTTTAACATTATGCTCTGTACTACAGTAAAAACGTTGAGGATCGATGTATGTTATCCCTTCTTATGTCTCTTCCCATAGGCATTCTGTAGCTAATGAATTATATTCACCCTTAGGGTTTCTTTATAGAGCATTAGGAAACCCAACTCCGGAATAATTCAAAACTGTTTTCAGTGTTTACCTTAAACCTTGTCTGAAGGAAATTTCTACTTTATCCTCCTTTACCGTAGGAAGAATAGTGCTCTTTTGGAGTGTTTCCCATGATGGACATCCAAAAAACTATCAAGGCCACAAAATAAACATTACTTTGTTCTCTTTGTAGATTTAAATTTGAAACCAGTGTAGTATAGGAGGATTAAAGGCGACATGATGATAAAGTATCATATAGTTTGAAAGTTTTTTGCCTTAATAGATCATTGGTAAGTTTATGTAATAAATCGCACTTAAGAGGATCGAGATTCAGCGTGAAGTGCAAAAGTACCCTCATGAAACCTAGTGTAAACTTGTTCGCATTTGATATGGAACAATCTGAAAGAAGCAGCAGTGACGGCGTCTCTCTGGTAAGCCTCCGAGATAGGGCAAAGGTAGGTCCGTTGGACCAAACCATGGTAAAATAGGCATATTGGAAATAACACTATGTAGCATTTAATACAAAGCTTCTTACAAACAAATCTTTAAAGTCACTGTGGAAAAAATAGTCCCTACATCCTTCTGATTAAATAAGGATCGTCAACTATTTTGGTTTTTTTTAAAAAAGAGAGGCTCTTGTTTGTTTATACTGCTCAGCGTCGAAGTACTGGAGAGGTGCGATTTTGATTACTTGGCACGCCTGTCGTCAGTGGCGTTTTAAGATGACGGTTTCGGGGACTTTGTACACTCCAGAAGGGTATCACAGGTCTTGGAGGGCCCAGATTGCAGCCAAATTTGGTGGTTGTACATTAAAAATCGTCAATTTCATTCCTGGTGTGACTGATAATGACAAGAAGTTCTTGGATAGATTCCCTCCCGCAACTGTTCCGGTTTTTGAAGCTGATGATGGTACATGCCTTTTCGATGTGAATGCCATAGCCTATTATTTGGGGACCGACCAGCTGAGAGGTAAGTGGTTCATCATAGTGAGCTTATTTGGTAGGTGGCAAAAACACACACTGCGTTACACAGTGGGTCAATTATGCAGATAACAGTATTCTGCCGTCTGTTGCTACTTGGGTTTATCCTTGTCTTGGTATTACCCAGTTTAACAAGCAGAACACGGAGAAAGCTAAGACTTGTCTTGCATCTGTGCTCAAGTTTTTGAATGAGCAGCTTAGTAAGATGTAGGTGTTTAATTTATAATCTTAGTTAAATTAGAACTTTCCTTGTTGGTGATCGGCTGTCTCAAGCTGATATTACCGTCTTTACAGCTTTGCATCCACTGTTTACCCATGTTTATGAAGAAAATGATAGAAAATCTTATCCGCATGTTATACGCTGGTATACAACAATTGCCAACCAACCAGAGGTTTTGAATGTCGTTGGGCCGTGCACGTTTTGTGTTAAGGCCGCTCAGTTTGATGCCAAAAAATACGCTGAGCTGCATAAAAAGGTAGGTCTGAAATTACTAAATAACAAATGAAAGACTCACGAGACCAACAAGCCAAAAGTAGCTACGAAAGAAAAACCCAAATCGGAGACTCCTGTTAAAAAGGAAAAACCTAAAGATGACGACAATTATGATGATCTTTCAAAACCAAGCGAAAATCTACTTGCAAGTCTCCCTCCTGGAAAGTTTAATATGGATGCATTCAAAAGAGTGTTCAGCAATATGGATAAAGAAGAGGCAGTCTCATATTTCTGGGACAATTTTGACCCAGAAGCTTATTCTATCTGGAGCTGCAGTTACTTATTTTCTGACTCGCTAACGTTATTATTCATGACTAGTAACTTAGTTGGGGATTTTTCCAACGAGCAGTGAAGTAGGTTTTTTATATTTGCGTAAACGTGTTTTTTGCTATCGAATTTATTTGGTCGTTTTTATGAATAAGCGAAGACATTTCGCAGTTTATGGTCAAGTATTCTAGTGTTTTTGTAATATCACAGATTCGTCTAATGAAGCACTACATTTCTCTTTCAGGATGTCAAAATATGGTTTTGGCATCATGCGCATCATTGGCGAGGATAGAAATCACACAATTAAAGGTATTTGGATTTGGCGAGGAACTGGTTTGATTTTCGAGTTGGATGAAGATTTACAGGTAGATTACGAGTCTTACGAATGGAAAAGTTGGATCATAATGCAGAAAGTACCAAAGCTCTTGTTCATGAATACTTTACGTATAAACCCGAAGACACAAAACTCAATCAATACAAAGTATTCAAATGAAAAATAAAGTATTTTCTGGGTTAATAATCTCTTTCTGACTCATTTGTGTGTATGCCGTTGTTACTATCGAATCGTGTTTATTAGCGGCTCATGAGAAGCTTAGTGGTATTGTGTATGTAAGCGTGTGTGGTTATGATGTATATAATCGTCAACTACCTCAGACGAACGTTGTTATTTTAAGCATGCCAACAAATTTCACATGCATAATTTCCTTTCGTAATATATCCTGATGGTTTTAGTTGATTAACTTTTGGTTGTACCGATCATACTTCACTGTTTGCGATGGGTATATTGAATTGCGGTCACTGAGATTGGTAATTGTGCAAGTTCAAACATTTGTGCGATATGTATTAGTCTGTTAGATTAGTCATGACTGTTTATCTCAAGGTTAGGTTTTATGCATAAATTTTTACTTTACAAATAGTAAGCTTCATGGCTTAATTAAATGGTTTAGTTCATTGTATGTTCCTTGAGTCAGTCTGGACAACAAAGGTCGGTAGTCATCGAACTATAGGTTACGAGTGGTAATTATTCAATGTCAAAGGAAGCAGGTCTTTCCGAATTTACGACTGACAGTTCATTAAGTAAGTAGGCATCATAGTTCTGTTGCTTTTTCTGAACTCTCTGAATTTCAAAACAGGAATGTATCTGTGCATATTTTGTAATACTTATCAGCTACGCATTACAAAGGTTGGATGGTGTAGCGTTGGCTAAGACGACGACGTTGATTATTGTCTATTTTTATTTATTTATTTATTTGAACATATAAATATTGGTACAAAAGGGCACCAAATATAAATGCGCCACACAAAACAATGAGAAATCGAAGAGAAAAAAACAACGAACAGATTAGTGTAAGGTAGTGTAACAATAGTATTAATGGGTGGAAACGGAAAGGTATAATCAGAAATCTTCCAGTTAATGAAGAAACAACCACTTTTTATGTAGAATGTGAGAGAAGGTTACAGCAGGATCGCCACTGGCTTCTACTCTGAGCCATATCTGATAACGTCTCCAGCCACTGTGTTGCACCATCTCTCAGACCCCAGCCAGGGAGTCGTGAAGGACCAACACAGGCCAGCCCTTTGCAGCTTTCTTTCATACCACGACACCATGTCATACACTGACCACCTTTCCGCTTTTTCCAACCAGTCCCAGCGTCGGCAAATAATGCGCGACGTGGAATTCTCTGGGACGACATTCGTAGAACATGTCCAAGCCACCGAAGTCGGTGTTTCAAGATGGTGACAACAATTGGATTATCGTCTCTGTGCCCGAACACACGATGCCGAACCTGTGCATTACTAACATGGTGTTGCCACTGAATGTCAGCAATCCTTCAGAGATAACGACGACCAAGCACAGAGAGTCATCTAGCATTCTCAACTCGGAAAGCCAGATTTCACAAGCATAGAGTAAAACTGCTCTCACCGACGCGTTGTAGATCCGATCTTTTGCAGCCAGACTAACATCACGAAGGCGCCAAAGTGGCCCAGATTGGCATAAGCCGCTCTGGCTTTCACTATACGTGCATTGATCTCATCACTCACACCCCCACCAGCACTTATGCCGCTATCTAGATACAAGAACTTCTCGACTACTTCTATCTGCTCACCATCCAGGGTGAGTACAGAATTAGAATCCTGCCAGTCTTGTAGAAGTACTTTGCACTTAGAAGGTACGAAGCACATACTATACCTACGGACACTGATTGTCAACTAATTAATTGTGGATTGAATGGCGTGGACATTATCGCACAGTAAGACAATATCATCCACATAATCAAGGTCGACAAGTATTTCTCCAGGTAACAGATCCACACCGCCATTACTTACATTCATCAGAGCTGTTTCCAGAATGTCATCGATGGCAAAGTTGAAGAGGAATGGTGAGATTGGGCAACCCTGCCTAACCCCACTGCTCGAATGGAACAATGGAGAGAGGTGGTTGTATGCCCTCACTCTGCCTGAGGTGTTTGTATATAGGGCCTTTACGGTGTTAATGAACTTCTCAGGCACACCCTTCTTCAATAGACCATCCCAGAGAATAGTCCTGTCCAACGAATCGAAGGCAGCCCTAATGTCAAGAAACACTACGATTGTTGGTCTGTGATAAGTATGACGGTGTTCTGAAATTTGGTGGAGGGTGAAGATATGATCAATACATCCTCGACCAGAACGAAACCCATCCTGCTCCTCGCGAGTGAATCTTTCTCTGGTTTTGAACAACCTACGAAGTATGACGGAAGCCAATAGCTTGGACGCAATCGTAAGTAGACTTGTCCCCCGATAGTTGTTACAGGAACTACGTGAACCCTTTTTAAAGATAGGGACAACTATCGACTCATTCCATGATGTTCGAACACTCTCTAGCTCCCAAACCTTTGTAAACAACGTAGTCAGTTCCTTAACCAGAAAGTCACCACCATCTTTAAAAAGAGCATGATGGGCATGATCAGATTCCAGATAGGTACTCCAAAATGAGCGGCAGTCTTGTACACAATCATGCCAGCGGTAGCTGATCGCGATGTGATCAATCTGAGTCCAGGCTTGAGATGCAGAGGGAGGAACGCCAGGTGGCACATCGGCGATGACTGTGCCGAAAGTTAGTTCTAGCCAGAAACAGGTTGTTGTCTGTGCACAGTTGCAGTAGACGGTTCCCGTTATCTGTCCTGCGACCAACAAGTCCCCATCGGCCACGTAAACGACTCTCTTCTGTGCCTAGACGCCCGACCTGAGCATACACGTCGTTACTGATTGACTGACAGCTCTAGATAGAAAGGAAACAATCGTTGATTATTACTATTATTATGTAGTTCACAAACTAATGTATGTAACAAGTTGAAGTTTTTAATTGAAATTATTTTTATTAAATTTCTATTATTAACAGTGTTTATTTATTGACAAACTATTAAGGACCTTTGGCCTGATGGATTTTCATGATGAACTTGATTTATATGTAGCTTTAATACAAATGAACTTCAATAGGATCTTTCCGAGAACTAATTTTTACTGCTACTTTTCAATACTATTTGTATGTTGAACAGGATAGATACAAAAATTACTGATTATAACCTCACAATAAAATGTGTTTACGGCTTACTGAAAACGCTTAAGGATAACTTGTTACGTGAAAGTTCATTCCTTACCAAAAGACGGAAATTCTTTGATCCCATTTCATGTCAACACGATGATTTTTTATAATAATGAAAGTTAATATGCACAGTTTATTAAAGCCTTAGGTATGATCATACCTTCTGAGTTACTTAGGAAGAAAAAAACCTGCAAACACATTGAATAGTTTTTTCTGACGCATTTAATGATGAGTGCTCGTCAATCTGAGGTTACCCGGACGTTTACCAGCGTTTAATGAATTTGTGGTATCCAAGGTTTTCCGTTTCTTTGGTGGGTGACTTTCAGATTATATTGGAATTTATTTAATGATCTCATTTCAAGCTCTAAATTCCATTACATTTGTGTTTTCCTCCCGCCATGTTTGAATATACTATACAATGTGTTCTTAACAGGCAGACGTGGATAACTTTCAACGATTATAGTGGAATGTCCATTGTAAAGTACACTTATATACAGCACACAGATTAAGTGGATAGAAAAATTCCATTGAAGTCATGAACCGATTAATGTTAGACCACCATTGTAAACCTGAAAGTACTGGAAAACCGTTTCAGGCTAGCATAGGAGTCTTCAGAAGTAAGCATCCACGATCCCTCAAGAGAGACTCGAACCCACAACTTTCGGTCTCGCGCAAACGCCCAAACTCTAGATCATTTAGCCGGCGTCCAACGGTTTTAATGTCTCACTCCAATCCACAATGTTGAGCGACTATCTTCCATTGTCTTCGTGGATTAGTTGAAGCCAGACAATGACACCTTTGGATGCCGGCTCAGTGGTCTAGAATGTAATCGTTCGCGCGAGACCGACGGCCTTGGATTCGAGTCTTTAGTGGGGTATCGTGGATGCTCTGTTTTGAAGAGTCCCATACGGGGACGAAATGCCCATCCAGTACTTCCAAGTTTCTAATGGTGATCTAACGTTGATCGGTTCATGAGTTCGATGAAATTCAGCAATGTCCACAACCTCAAACTGAGGATAGGAAAACGTCTGAAAATTTTGGGATGGTATAATATTTGTTGAACATTGAAAACGTCACGATGGCCTCAGTCATTAATTAAATTTACTCCTACGTAGAGCAAATCACAATGTTTTATCGGTTCCCAGATAGTACAAAATAATGTCAGGTCATAAATTAATGCGACATAGTGTCTGGGGTTTGAAGTTTATACTAGTTGATTGAATTGTTTACTTACGAATATGACTACGATTGTAACTTAATGAAAAACTACCAGATATTCAGACTGACTAATCAGAATTGGGTAGGGGACACTTACAATCTTATTGAAACAGTCTAAAGTTCATTCATTAAAACACTTATTAAGTGACTTAGGATGCCTCGTATTCTGTTGGTTTTTTGATGTTACCCTCTCAGAGCTAGTTGACATAGTCGTAAAGCCTTTACTATCTCCGCAAGCGACATTCACGGCGTCTACTTTAAATATAATTGGGAGATTAAACAGACGAGAAGCATTACAATGAATAAAGTGTGTCTCACCTTTACCTACGTACCCAAAGAGTTTGTCAGTTAAACTATACTACTTGTCGTTACTTATATCAATGCACATGGACATCTATAAATGCGAATTAGATTGCGAAAATGTCGGTTATCGACAAGAAGCTGTAATTGTGCTAACATATTTCTGGTGACATTTCGTACAGATCAGTATAGGATTATTAATCATGTCGAAATGAATATAACCAAGTAATCTGCGTGAACAAAGCTAATTGAACATATAATCATTGGGAATGGAAAAGGAATATCAGTATAACAAATTTACCTTAAAAATGCAGTCGATATTAGTACAGATTGATTTACCGTTATGGAATCATTTTAAAGTAGGAACTGATAGTTCTGGACAGAATGACAATTAAAGCTAATGATTAAAGGGTCT